ACCTAAAGGGTATGAAAAATAGACTTGTTGTGGCCCTTGGTTAGCATATTTGTATTCGAAAAGAGACATAGTAAGGTCTGCTAATACAGGGCTAGCATGGCCTCTTTGGGGCATACCAAGCAGGGCCCGGCACGAGGTGGGCAAATAACAGGCTAGAAATCGTTTTATGTAAAAAAGCAAGAAGAAGGTCGTTTTTGTGGGGTCCGGGGCGGAGTCCGGGAAAAACTTGGTAGTTCTAGTTTATGTGCTCTCCGCGTACAATACCGATCATAATTCGTCAAAAAAGTCGCCGGAGTGCGGCGCACTGCGCCGCACTCCGCCACACTCCGACGCATTCTAGCGCACTCCGCCGCAGTCCGCCACACTCCGACGCACTCCGGCGCACTGCGCCACACTCCGCCACACTCCGACGCACTCCGGCGCACTGCGCCACACTCCGCCACACTCCGACGCACTCTAGCGCACTCCGCCGCAGTCCGGCGACTTTTTTGACGAATTATGAGCGGTATTGTATTTTCAAAGACGCTGCCTTTGATGTGCATATACTTCGACTCGCTCCATCTCCTGGGTATAGGTAAACGAAAAGATTATAGTTTTGGTACGATGTAAGACATTTTCGTAAATTCTTTGTGGCAAATTTGTTGTCTGGAAAGAAACATAAGAATTTGAGTTAGTCGAATTTTCGTTGAAATGCCTCGTGAAGCAGTTTCATACAAAACTACTAGTTTCCCTATATTGATCTTTATGAGAAGAATACCTTTTTAGAAGGAGCGCTCATTATAACAACGCAACAGCACGATATTCTAATAAATGGTACTTTTCCGTTATCCGGACCCTTTTTTTCAAAGGGCTCTCATATTATATGTTATATGCTCTCATATTAGAAAAATAGCTGAACTTGACCTTGGTAAAAAGCATGGGTTAAGAAACTTATATTCTAACAAAAAATAATGTCCCCTCTATAAAGAATCATTTACTTCAAAGAGGCTAGTTGTGACTTAATGAGAGGGAAGGGCATTGTGTACTTTTCTACTTCATGGGTCTTGGAATCGTGCATCTGTGGTCAGCTTGTTCTACTTAAACTTTTCAAACCTATTCACATGCGAATTTCCTTGGACCGAGCTTTCTGAGATACCAACTAAACCACGCTGCGGTATCTATGATACATTATTAAGATCGTCTACATGTACGTCTTTTTTGAATTGACAAGCTTGCAATTGCCTTCAGAGCAATTGAATAGGCTAGTTTGTCAAAAGCTCAGTCAGTATATTGGGAGACAGTTAAGAAAAGTAGGAGGTTGGGAAAAATGTCTTGAAAGAAATGGAAGAACGCTCTTAAATTTTTGCATCAGTTTAATATATGGTAAAATTCTAAGAATATATCGTGATTACTCGAGACTGGAAGGCTTTCTTGAATGTCTTTTCTTTTTTTGTTTCACGCTGCTTTCATTAAAATAAATATTAGGTCATTCCGAAAGTAATTTCGCTTTTTTCAAACGGGCGCCACATTTGATAGAACAAAGGTTTATAAGGGATCTTGGAGGCATTCGATGCAGAATTTCATTCTCTTTCTAATGGTTATGAAACTGTTGCAAAACAATCAATGAGCTTTCAGAAAATAACAAAAATCTGCGACCCATGCTTTTTGAGATGGTCAAGTTTCATGGTTTTTTGAACCTTTCATATCAATCCTCAGAAGGAGTTCAAGTAACGATTCGATAGAGTAATCCCTATAGAACACAGAACTACTTTAGGTCGCCGTAATTTCTTAAGAGATTTTTTAACAGAACCATCGGATTTTGGCAGGCCCACTTCAACCACAATCGCATCAAACATCATAATTTTTCGGAATTTGAGACTACCAAGATGGTACTGCGAGTTAGCATTAATTTTACAAAGCACGTGAGGGTTTACGGGTTCGAAGTATCAAATTTCGAGTTTTTCGGGTACAGCCTGGGGCTCGCTAAAAAAGCGAGTTATGATGATTTTGTCCCCAGAAACTGAATGAATCGGAAACAAAGAACACTGTTAGAAAGAGGAGAAAATGCTGCATCGAATAGTGCGCGAGCTGCTTTTCTTTTGCTGTTCTACGAGGATTTAGCTGCTCAAGTATGGAAATCGGTAGCATCAGTTAAAATTCTGTTAAAAATGTATAACAAACTATGGAAAAGAGATAAAAGTTGCTCTGTATTCTATGAGGTTTGCTTTATCGAAACGTCACTTGAACTTCTTCTGATAATTGATATGAAATTTTTAAAAAATTGTGAAACTTGACTATCTCAAAAAGCATAGGTGGCAGATTTTGGTTATTTTCTGAAAGCTCATTGATTGTTCTGCAACAGTTTCATAACCTTTAGAAAGAGAATGAAATTTTGCATCGAATGCTTTCAAGATCTCTTAGAAAGCTTTATTCCTTCAAATATGGCGCCCGTTTGAAAAAAGCGAAATTACTTTCGGAATGACCTAATATTATAGAAAAATCATAGAAAATGCAGACATAAAATGCTTTACGTACGATAAATATACCACAGAACAAGTACATTGATTTACAAAGATATAAAAACATGAAGACTATCTTGAAATTCATTTTCTCATACATTTGAAAAATAGTTTGCTTCTATATTAGTAGGTTGGATTCAGAACTCCTTTTCTTAATCCTCTTGAGCACTTCTGCTCTAATCTATTCCATAAATTGCTTTGTTCTTGTTGCAGCTCGGTGATCTCTGCTCCCCTTCCGAGGGTGTTCGTCTGTTCTACGCTCTAGTTCCCAACCCCAAAGGACTTCCAGAGATACGGATGAGCTCAAAGTTCGTACCGGCGCGTCATGCCCTCAAATACACAAACATGAATACATACAAGTTTACTAAAATAACACACACAGTAAAAACCATATATAGAAAAGAACTTACCACGGAAGAGTTGAGCTCAACCCAGGTTACCGATGGACCACCAGCTCACTCAAACTCTCTTCCCTAGCACACTCTCACACACTCGCGACTTCCAAAAGAGCTGACCCACACGTCGACCGCGCGTGTCACCAAGGCAGTAGCGACGGCGCGGCTCACCTACCCCGTGATATTAATCAACAACTTCGAACCAAGCTCCTTACAGATCTTGCGCGTCCAAGCGCTTCCGAATGTTCATCGTCCGGAATTTACATCCTTGCGCGTTCATACCACTTCGTCGTCAATACACATACGCGCAGGGCATGGGGCGCAGGCACAACGCCGATGTCGTAAAATTCCAACTGATAGATAGTACAAGCAACACGAGCGATGATAGCGTTAAGAAGAAAGAAAGCCGCAATGGCGCGCGTGCGCTATTTATAGCCGTGGCTCGGGACATGCTACGTAGTGGTTTGGAAGCGAACAGGGTAGCCGACATAAAGCGTTGCTACCGTGCTCACGATAACTACGCGGCAACACGGTGCTCCCGGCCACATATTACGAGGAGATGTCGATTGTCTGTTGATTGCGAGCCGTAGTTCTTCTTTGATTTCTTTTTATCGGACTTCTGTTGTTCTTGTGCTCTACTGATCTCTTTACCGCTACATGTATGTAAACGAAATCTTTTCTTTCTGTTACTAACCACTTCCCTACCAAAGAATCTCGGGAGTTTTCAAATTTACAGGTTACTCTGTATAGGGGTAGAGGCGAAACAGGCTTATGGTAAAGAAAGATTTTTTGATAGCCGAGTGGATGGTTGGCAGATTGCTTATGAATGACCAGAAGGAGTGAAACTATAAGGTAATCCAAAAGGTAATGAGGTACCTTGATTTACAACTCTGAGGGTTTTATTCCTGATTAAGGATCAGCCACCATTAGAATGGCAAATGCGCCCCTGTGAAACAAATACGCCTTTGCCACCTTCATTTCACTATTTGCCTCTTTAATAAACCAACTGCGCAGCCTATTCGATTGAAGCACGTTTTCTTCCTCCAGAGATTCAACTCGTTTGCTATTTCGCACTCTAACAAAGAGGAGAGGAAAAGTTTTGAAACCAAAACGTTAATACATAGTAAAAGTTATGTAGGACGTAGACATAGACACGTTGTAGATCCCTGCAAAAGCATTACTTCAGCTTCCAAGAAGGTATTCCATCGTGCAACACTTTTGCTGCAACCTTTTATTCAAAGTTTTTTCTCTTAGGCATAAGTTGAATCAAATATTGGCTTATCTGTCTTCTGACAAAATCAACGCGAGTTAGTTGAAATTCTTTGATAGAAGAGAGGATGGGTTATCTTATATATATAGCTGAATGTCTGTTTGTATGTCAGTATGTCTGTCTGTATGTCTGTCTGTACGTATGTTCCGAATAGAAAATTCCATTTCTAAACCGATCGGGACCAAACTTGGCACACATACACTTCGGGACGGGGAGCGTGTCATAGGCTACTTTTCGTATCGATCGATATCAATTTTGTCGATTTTTTTTTGCAAAATTTGAGCTAAAGGGCTGGGAGTTGGCACAGGGGGGTAATCAAAAGCATGCTGATTACAAATATATTATTGACGGGTCCGGGCGGAGCCGGGTTTGCCAACTAGTTTAACAATAAACTTTGAGAAGAGTATTTAGCACGCCTTTTTTAAATCACAGTCATTATGTGGCATGGATGATCTCAATTCGCTAAAAACTTCAACACTCGCATGGCTTTATTACCAAAGACGACGCCCCTATTTTGTTTTGTAGACAGTTATTAAAAAAATATGGTTCATCGAAGTTTTACAAGTGAGCTCAGTTTAGGCAAGAAGAAAGCCTTGTCCTTTGCAATATCTAGACAAAATTAGCAATCCTGTTAATCAGTCGTGTTCATCTCATGTGTGTTTTCAAGCCAACCTTAGCACTGTTAATTCTGCTTAAATGAGATGATTCTTTTTCCTCCTACTTAACTGTAGCTCTCATTTGTGAAATATCAGTTCTCATGCAAAAAATCTTAAATAACACACAGTTATTTATTTTTGACTGGACCAAGATCACAAACAATGTTCTCTTTTAGCAGCTCTATGGGAAGCATGTGCATTCGCAGGAGCAGTCGAGTTCTTTCTTTTTTTCTTTTACTTCGCAGGAGCAGTCCTTCTTTCCTTTACAGTCTCCTCCTCCGTAACCCTGAAAATAGAAACAATGGTGGCTAAAGCACCTTAAATAGCATGAAGTAAAATTTATCTATACTCTCTACGGATGAGCGAAGAATGTGCCTCGTTTGGTAAATAATGTGTTTCTTTAACTTGCTTCTGTTTCTCAAAAATCCTGCTAAAGAGGTCGCTGTAATTCAATCTGTTTTATGAGGCAGACGAGGTGACTCTTGAGGTTTTGCGAAGTTGTTCATGACGTGATCTTTTACAGCTTTTTGGAAGAACTGCAGTAAGGAGTTTAGTGCTTGAAAGTGGATTTGGTTCTGACAACTCTTCAGCAAGCACCACTTTTAGGAGAAGGAGTCAAGTTGACTGAAAGTTAGGAGTTTTTGGAATAGGAACCTGATGCTGGTAACCGCAACGTTTGAAGTGCCAACAGTCTAAGGCTGAATAAGGTAGACTCGCAAAATTGTATAGAAGGATCAAATTGAAAAATTCTTTGCTCTTTATCAAACATGATTCCCTTATTCAGCGACATACTATAGACACTTCTAATTGTGATCAGGTGTTCACTGCTCAACAAGCAAAATGTAGAGTCAATAGCCTGTGGCAGAGTAAGTTACATGAATTTGAAATGAGTACAAAAACATATTGTAATCTCCTACTAATTGCTAATTCACTTTCGAGCCACGGGCTCTCGATCTTTGTGATTGTGATCATCTGTTATTCAGTGAATGTCAAAAGTTCCAAGTGGGGAAATTAGAAATTTTGTACAGTGTAAACACGCTAAAGAAAATTTGTTGCTGTATATCCAGTTTGAATAAAAATTACCTTCAGTTGACAAGAATACTTGCACTTGGCCCTCGCCTTAACAAGCCCGTCAGCGCCGCATATACTTCCTGCTTCAATGCTAGCAATCAGGCAAGATAGAATTATCGAAAGAAGCATGTAATTTATTAGCTTCATGTTCTGAAATTTGTGGACTTTTCTTAACTGTCTCCCAATATACTGACTGAGCTTTTGACAAACTAGCCTATTCAATTGCTCTGAAGGCAATTGCAAGTTTGTCAATTCAAAAAAGACGTACATGTAGACGATCTTAATAATGTATCATAGATACCGCAGCGTGGTTTAGTTGGTATCTCAGAAAGCTCGGTCCAAGGAAATTCGCATGTGAATAGGTTTGAAAAGTTTAAGTAGATCAAGCTGACCACAGATGCACGATTCCAAGACCCATGAAGTAGAAAAGTACACAATGCCCTTCCCTCTCATTAAGTCACAACTAGCCTCTTTGAAGTAAATGATTCTTTATAGAGGGGACATTATTTTTTGTTAGAATGTAAGTTTCTTAACGAATCTACTCAAATACCCATCATTCTAGAAGAACATCATAATTGGCGTAAAAAGAGACGAATAACAATACTTTAACGTTTCGCTGAAGCTTCACTTACTTCATCTGTGATTTCATGCATTTCTATGTATCGACGATTCTTTGACCGCACGGATTGCTCAGACATTGCGGACCACGCGCGGTGCGGCCGAAATGTTGCGAGAGCACGACTTGTACAATGGCGAATTTGCACTGGGGCAAGTGTTCCGCGGCGCGAGCTCCGCAGTGATCTCCAGTCTATGCGGCCAACAAATCGACGACGCCGTCAATGGTGCTCATCATAATTCAGACACTGACAACCATAAACCATTTCAAACGAGATAACATGGAAATAAATTTGTTTCCAACAATTGCTTATGTACACTCGATGTGATACTGAATGCGCAAGCGACATTTAAGTGAATTTAAATATGAGCAGTAAGAAGCTAAGTGATCAGCTCCTGGTTCAGTGCTTCAGCTTCTACTTTGGCGTTTCCATTGAAAAGTTGCACTGAAGCATGTTGCACAAGCAGTCAGCGTAAAAAATCGCATATAGGAGTGCTGCGGTGACGTCATCACGTTGTGAAAGAGAAAAGGAGCAGGACCCGACGACCGCGAAAAATGGAAAAATTCAAAATGTAGCGATGCGAGTATGACTACGCTATTCGAAAAAGCTAAATTGAAAGCAAGACTGTGACACATTCTGACATATCATATCGCACTGCCTTAAGCTGTCAAGGCGCTGTACGACTTCAGTATAACATTTTCGGCTAAACATGATAATTGTTCAAGTTTACCATAAACACCAAAAAATTTCTTATTCAAAATAAATGACGATTTTTATGATTTGCAAGTATTACAAAAAGGAACGTTGAGCATTGAAGAGACAAGCTTTTTCGCCCTTTGAAAATTAGGAAAAGGCATAAATTATGGTATTGATATCGCTCAGTTACAAAGAGGAATGCACATCGCCCATTCAAATTTTGAAACAAATTGCATCTATGCGTTTGAGTGGTTTGCAGCAATCAGCGCTTGCTGTTTCGTTTGGGATTTGGGGTCGTGGAGCTGATTACTAGAGCATAATCAATCAATGGGATTACTGCCTTTTCAAGGTGGTAACAAAGGGACAAAGGGTTTGAGCACGTACGTTGGACGGAGCTTTTGCGGACATTTCAACACGTTGATGAACTTGTAAAGCCTCTATGCAAAGCATTCTTTGTACTCTCTAAACTGCCACGTTTATATGCTGTTGTCACACGTGGCAGGTTTGCCGGCTAGAAATCATAAAAAACAAAGCCTTGTAGTAGAGGGTTAACATGTTCACCAACGTGTTGAAATGTCCGCAAAAGCTCCGCCCAACGTACTCCGGGGAGACGACTATAACTTGGAGAAGAGAAAACGATGCATTCGGTATTGTCCTCGCTTTTATATATGAAAGTCCTTGTGCTATTAATAACAGCTAAGAGCTTGTGTGAATGATTTTCAATGACAAACAGATAACAAACAAACAGATGATCCAACAACTTTTTCCTAAAAAACTCCACTTGACTCCTTTAGATAGGAGTATTGTCAACAACTGAATGACTCACATTGAAAAACGTAATCGGCTAAAAATCTGGCTGAAGGAAAAAGGTGTCTTCGAAATGCTCGCCATAATCAAATATTATATTTGGATGAAGAGAAGCAGAATGGAGTCTCCGAATCACGAAGCATACAGAAACACATGTGATCTAGTGGCCGTAAAGAAATGCCGATTATGTTTTCTGAAGTAAATCGTTCATTTGTTAACAAAACATTTATGTGAAGGAGCAAAGTGGTGTTTTTTTAGTGATGCAAAAAGATAGTGATCATTCATCTGTTTAGCGTCATTAAGAACCCTTTGAAAAAAAATATATTTAAATGTTTATCGAAAAAATATTTGCGATAAAAGATATTCTTTAGCACCATTTTCACAAAAATACCTTGAAGCATCGCAAAACTAAATTAATGGCAATTATATTGGGGTAATCTAATAATTGGTATGATAATAACAAAGGCTTAATCCCGTCAATTGGCAAAATCATCTAGAAGCTCCGGCATCGTAAAATTGTCATTTGACACACTTGGTCACAAGCAACGGACATACCCAAGTCACGAGTTGCGGGCTTAGTTTGAGGATTAACACAAGATTTTTGTTACGGTTAATGTCAGGAGATTTCTTTATCTAAATCTTCAAAGCTGATTGCATGTATAAGCTCCTGCAAGACGAAGGCGGTCGATTCAATGCGGAACGCGGCTGCGACATGGCTGCGTCACAGCCGAGTCACAGCCGCGTCACGGCCACGTCGTATTCCGAACCGACCGCCTTCGTCTTGCAGGAGCTTATAACAATTGAAGTACTCACATATAACTGATACGCGACTTTATTTATAAGTGGAAAAAAAGAGATTGCGTCCGTGTCGGTCACACGTTCTCATTTTCTAGCTCCAGATGCTGTGGCTTCTTCCACGAATATTTCTATCGAAACCACCGCGGTATGTTCTCAGCAAAAGTCATTACAGTCAACAAAACCCTATTTTGGAATCGCTTTTACTAAATAGAATACTGAGAAAAGGGATTATGAAAGCAAAACGCAAATGTTGACCTTACTTCTCTGGTATCTTTAATTGAAATGCATTTATGATAAATTCCCATAACGATGAAGTTCTTACTTTTCACAACTCTACTGCTTTGCTTCTTGGCCAGCACAAAGACACTCACGTGCAAATTTCACGATCCCTAGTGAGCAAGGAAACTTGCTTCGCTTTATGCAGAGTGCAGGTAAATACTTGGGATAATGCAGATTGGAGTACAAGAGTTTTTGTATGTGATGCATGAATTCTGACACTTGAGTGATCATTGGAGCGGCTTCAACTTCTCCACATTTTACGATTTCAGCACTGCGGCATTGGAGAGTGCCAATATCGAGGTGGAAGGCGATATGCGTTTGCTCAAGATTTACATTAAACCCCCATTTTTGTAATCAAAGATCAGAGAAGATCGAAAATGAATATCTAACGAGAAGTGGTCAATAATGGAAGTAACCTGTGTTTGAGGAGCCCTTACTGAGAAGAGCTTCAAAAATTTGATGTTTGCTTGTTTGCTGATAAGATACTATTATCTGAACGCAGAATTAATGTTTCACATGTTAAAGGGACAGATCAAATAAGTAATTGTAAGAAACAAGCAAGGCAAGCTCTGCAGAACTAGGTATTTCAAAGTCCCGAAAAACTTATATCCGCCAAAAAGTCTTGCTTAACTTTTAACTACTTTAACTCGAGTAATTTTGTTTTTGCAGAGAAACCGAGAGCAGAAAATTTACAGTCATAATTACAATGGTTTGTAGTATAGAATTACTTATGTTGAAACGGTCCCCCATTGCTTCGAAAAAAACGAAAATTTCGATTTCTCAGTCTTCAATCAAGGAGTACAGCAACTTCATATATGAGCATCTGATCCCGATAGTATAGATGTATGTTAGTAGGAGATCCGTAAAAAAAATTTTGGACGGAGATTCGATGTTTTTCGCTTTTTGGCCAATAAGAAACAGGGAAGTAAAAGCATTTATTTAACATAATGTAGAAAGCTGGAAAACTTTTAAATCGTCGGAAAAAGTGATACTTAATGTGTTTAAACTTCATTATTCGATCATGAAACTTCAGGCATGGATAAAGGGATCTGAACGACCCTTTTATATCAATGGGCAGCAGTTATAGGTTATATCACCCAGCATCGGTCGGTCCCACGAAACGAGGCAGCGCGCATGCACCGCAAGGCAGAAATCGCATCGAAGCAGAAGATAGACTTTCGCTCAAGCATTTGAACGCTCCTTTCTGTATTCATATTATTCACTTTGCTGAACTCTCAGTTTCTTTTGGAATTCCTGTCTCAACTACGTAGGACAACTGAACTGATGGCCGCCCGTTGCTTGATGAACATTCGAGTGAAAATTTATGGGTCGGTAGTAATTTGGTTGAAACTCCGAGTTTAAAGCACCGCGTTAACCCAGAGTTAATTCAGTGTTCCATTCTTGGAACTCAGAGTTTTGCTTATTGAAACTTTGAGTTTCGCTTTCAAAGTTTCGAGCTCCATCTCTCAAGATTGGAGCTTCCATATGATATTTGAGGAGCTGTTATGCACTTTGCTACAAAAGCGATGTTAAAGTTTTCATTCGAACTTCTGTGGTCTAGCGCACAGATCCTATCACTACAACTCTAGGCCTTGACACACTCTTGAAGCTCGAAGTTGCTTGCCATCATGTACTCATTGCATGAACACATAGCATGTCAGAACAGGTTATGTCAAAGCCTCATTCATTTTCATTTCTGTCAAAAAGTGGTAGTTTATTGAACGGATTGGCCTTTTGTGCAGCCGAAAGCTTCAAACAATAGTGAAAGCGGATGGCATACGCAATGGTGAGAATGGATTATTAGGATTTGCGCACAGAATAAACCCTCCGGGTAATGTTTACCCTTATTCCATGATTTGACCCACTTACCGTATGCCTACCGTAACCCGCCAGATGACTCGCCGCATAAAGGGTTTGTTAACTTGTTTGGCGAGCCGAAACCATAGTAGG